GTTGGTGCAGGTGCAGATGCATCTGGATTTTAAATTCAGAAGTGTTAGAAGGAGCTGAGTTAGTAGACAATAACATAACATTAAAACCTCTAAAGTTAATGGATTACTCAAGAAGACGAAAAAAATACACAAACAATACGCTACTCTCAAAACCTTCAACTATTGTAAGTATAAAAAGTATACATGAAATTATTTTTTTTAATCCAACAAAACTATGTAAAGGAACCTGAATGGTAGTCTTCTCTGGTGTAAAGCTCACAAGAATCTGCTAATGCACTCAAGAAATGCAGGTATGTTGTTGAAAAATATATGTAATTTAGTCACCTAATATATCATTTCCCCAGTCACTGCTTGTTTCCAAAACTTGACATTTTGCAGTTTTGGTGGGTGGTTCTTGAAAGAAAATTGTAATTAGAGAGATTTGTGGGAAAAAAAAAAAATAAACAAACAAACCTATAAACTATACACTATACATGGAATGATGTCTTTTATGCAACAAAACTATATAAGGAAACATTAACAGTGGTTGTCTCTAAAGTAAAGCAAAAAGGGATCTGCAAATGTGCTAAAAAAAGCTGGTATAATATTTATAAAATATATGCATATTTGCCACCTCCAATATCATTCCCCCAATCACTGCTTGTTTTCAAAGCTTGAGGTCTTGCAGTTTCAGTAAGTGTTTCTTGACAGGTAACTATGATTATAAAGATATGTGATTGTTAAGGCAAACCTAGTACTTGTGATTAAAAAGCTCTTTGATAGGTCTGTTTGGAAAAATTAAATGACCAAACAAAGCCGAAAGAAAGCCTAAAGAGAGCCAAAGTCAATTACCTACGCATCACTCGTAAAACTTTGTCTCTAATATAATGCGACATTAAGTCAGCAAAACATGTCTGCTAAAGATTTCTCCTATATGCTGTTGATGACTTGTTGACAATTGGTTCCTGTCTTACAACCACCCCCCATTTGCTTTTTTAGGAAACTGGAAGCAACATAATTAAATATATAAACAAAATCCTGTACAGGGATTTAATCTGACTTGAAGCTACACTACACAACAATGCTTGATTCTATCAATAAGTTACCTTTCCCTGTATTATCCTTGCTACTCTTTCTTTTAATAGGTTGAGTTCTTGGTTTTTTAGCAGGAATTTCCTCAGATGCACCTTAAAAAAATAGTCCAGCATAATTAAATAATGGCACACAGCTGAATATAAAAACAGAACATCAAACTAGGTGATAAAAAAAAAGCACAAAAACTACACATAACTAAAGAAAGAAAATGCTCCTCTCATTATCAATAATATTATCTCTGTGTTTTTTTCAATGAGCTCTTCACACAAGAATGCCAGCATTGTGCTTGTTATTCAAATATCATACCTCCAACAAACTTTTCCTTCATGATGTAGGACAAAGCCAAGAACAGGCATGCATGCACTATTAATTTGACTATGTGCTATTTCTGAACTAATTAAGTCAGTTGGTTTTAAATCTTAAATCTGCAATTAGCTTCTCCATGAACCCACATGCAATGAATAAAGATAACAACTAATCGCTTAAATAAATTTATTCCATTGAAGTATTACAGTATTTAAAAATATAATTTTTAAAAAAGGAACTAGCCTTTTCTAGGCTCTTGGTCAGTGCAGGGGGAAAGTAAGCATGCAAATAACAGCCTTCAGTGCTCTCTTTTTGTCTCCACTGACCAACTGAGCCTGGAACAAGCCATAAGTGACATTACAAAAGTTACCTTTCTCATTCTTCCCCTTTTTATTTGTTGTGTTGGAAGCTTTAGCTGTCTGCTTTTTGGTGGTGGTGTTCTTGGAAACTTGAATAGATGAGGTTCACAAGAATTCAGTGCTTACAATGTCTCACATACTTAAAAAAGAAAACTTACTTCAGCTGATACAACTCACTGATGGTCT